TGGGCATTTCCCAAGGCTTTCTCTGGCCTTTTGCAAGGGTTCATTCATTCATTTGCAAAATAGGGATAAGAATACCGCAGAGGCTACCTGGAAGGGTAGTCAGAAGGTTCACCTGAGATGATGCACACCTTAAAGCACTAGATATTATGTTGTTGTTATAAATACTGATATTATTAATAAGTATAATGGATGATTTTTAAATTAATAATTAATAAAAATCATTAATTAATAATATGGTTTTCCAAAAGGAATATCCTTTATCAGACTTTGTTCAGTCATATCCGACTCTATATGACCCCATGGACTTTGTCTTGACAAAGATACTACAGTGATTTACCATTTCCTTCTCCAGTGTGTTCCCATTTTATAAATGAGGAGCTGAGGCAAATAGGGGTTAAGTAACTTTCCCAGGGTCACACAGCTAGTGTCTGAGGCTGAATTTGAACTCAGATCTTTCTGACTCCAAGCCTGGTGTTCTAACTACTGACCCAATTAAATATTCTTTTGTCAGATTACATGTCTTATTTTTGGTCTGAAAAATATGGTGAACATAGTGCTAGGTCACAAAGCTTATACCAAATGAGATATTTGTCCAAAAGTACTTAGCACAGTGCCTGGCACATAGTAGGAGCTATAGAAGTGATTGGTCCTTTCCCTTCCCCCTTCATGGAACTTATAGGACTATCTTCCCAAACGGGATGATACAAAGACCATTGTACTTGCAGTCAGGAGTACCTGGGTTTGTCTACTGGTTATATTACACTTGCTAGATGTGGGACACTAGATAAGTAAGCAATTTGTAAACATTAAAGCAGGGAGAAGAGGCAGGAAGTAGGGAGGGGGAAGCAGGATGCAGCTAGGTGGCACAGTAGTTACAGCACCAGGCCTGGGGTCAGGAAGACCTGAATTCAAATCCAGCTTCAGACACTTACTAGCTATATGACCCTGGGCAAGTCACTTAACCTCATTTGCCTCAGTCTCCTCATCTGTAAAATGGGCTGGAGAAGGAAATGGTAAACCACTCCAGTATCTTTGCCAAATGGGGTCATGGAAAGTGAAAAACAACTGAACAACAACAAACACTAAAGCACTATATAAATACCAGCTATTATTATTACCAGTAGTACAGGATTGCTGTGAAAGTGCTTTGTAAACTTTAAAACGGTATAGTAATGGAAGCTATCATGAATAATAATAGTAAAATGTAAACTATTATCATTTTCTTTAAAAAATTTTTTTTTGATAGTTGTCATGATAGAATGGATCTCAAGAGCTGGCCTAAAGTACTGCCTGTCGTACATAATGACTGTGTGACCCTAGGTAAGCACACAACCTTTCCTCTGTCAAACTCTCGAAGCCTCTGAGTTGAAGAGGAGATGCCAACCTGTACTGATGAAGGGAATTCCTCCCTCCAATGCACTACGGTGATGTCTAAATGAATACTAGCCAATAAAAAAAATTATGAGGACTTGAGATAGAGAAAGTGCAGAGAGAAGGAAAGGGGCGAAGGACATATTTTCTTACCTTGTTCCCAGGAGATCGAAGCAAAATAAACCGATGCTTCTTCTTTAAGAGAGCTCGATAGTCTTGGCACTTCTCATAGCTGCCCAGTTCTACAGTCTCTATGCAGTTCTGCTCATCCTGGGGAGAATGAAAGAAAGGTGATCACTAGGTTAATTAGAGGATGAAATTCCACCTTAGTCCCAACTCCTGCGCACGCACACGTGCGTACACACACAGCTGGAGCTTAGGAAGGCCAGCAGTCACCCCTAGGGTGTTATATATAAGGGGAAAGGGTAGTACACAAGGGAAATTTTAAAGTATTACTTTTTAATAAATGTACAAGTTTTACATCAAGTATTTACTGGTAGAAACCTCTTGTGTTCAGAGTGAAGTTCAAACTAGTGAAGGTTCAAAGTTACTGGTGGACGATTATGAACAGGGGGTACAATTTTCTAACCTGGCCAAGCAGGTCTCTACATCACGCCCCTTAGACTGATACTGATGAGATATGATGAAGCAGGCACAACTGCACATGGAAACAACTTCCTAGGGATGCTCACCATCAAATGGTGACCACAGCACACTGGCTTTCCCTGAGTTGCAGATTCTTGATTTATAAAAGCGCTCTGGGCAGGGGGACTGGCTACTGAAGGTCCAATGAGAAAATAAACATTTACAGTATGAGTTCTGAATAGCAAGATACACTACTGAGCACTAGAGACACAATTCAGCATAAAGGGGTCTTGCCTTTGAAAGTCTTACTGCCTAGATGGGAGACAGGATATACAGAAAAAAAGAAGAATAGTAACGATAAGGTAGAATCCTAGAATAAGGTGGGAAGGAAAAAAGGAAGGAGGGAAGAAGAGAGGGAGGGAAAGAAGGAAAGAAGAATAGAACAAAAGAAGGATAGAAGGATAGAAGGAAGGAAGGAGGGAAGGAAGAAAGGAGGGAGGGAAGGAAGGAGGGAGAGAAGGAAGGAAGGAGGGAGGGAAAGAAGGAAGGAAGGAAGAAAAGGAGGGAGGGAGCAAAAAAGGAGGGAGGGAAGGTAATTGAAGCATTTTTTTCAATATACAAAGGAGAACAAAAGGAAGGCCAGAAGGAAAAACAAACATGAAGGACAGCTTTGAAAGTTACACATGGATGAAAAAGACTACGCATTTCCAGATAGGGAAGTAAAAGACTCAGATCAAGAAATTTTTTTTGAGGGGGAGACATGGTCAAATTTGTTTTGCTTGATTATACATGTTTGTAAGAGGGGGGTTTGTTTTTCTTGCTTTCTCAATTGGGAGAGTAACAGGAAGTGATAAAGAGAGAAGGAAAATTTTGATATGAAAAAATTAGTTTAAAAAAGTTTATAGGTCAGGTTTACTATATACTTTAAAAGCATGATGTACATAAGAGAGATACGCAGTCCCTAAAATATCAGTCCTAGTCTGCAGTTTCACCATTGGGTCCTCATTAACTTATTTTACAGATGAGGAAATTGAGATAAAGAGATTTACTCAAGGTCAGTGTAGTGGCAGAACCAGAATTCAAATTCAGCTCTTCTGATTCCAAATTCAGTGAGCTTTTTTATATGTTATATGGCCTGTAAGTTGGTCATTGAAGGCTTAGTGAGATTTCCCCAAGTGAAAGTGGAGGATGGCATTCCATACAGGGGAACAGAATGAGCAAAAAGGAGGGAAGGGGACATGGAATGGCTAGCGGACTGTAAGTCTGTCCACTAACCTACTTGGTGATTCCAGGGTTCTGGAGTAAGACGGTTTCCCCTGAAGGAGCGTGGAGAGATTAGACACTGACTCTGATCCAGAAGCTGCTGTGAAAGTAGAATTAATGCCTGCTCCAGGGCAGAAAATCGACTAGGGATAAATGCAGGACCTTTAGAGACCATGAAGCCCTGGGGCTCTTGGATAGATTTCTGGGAGTCTGTGGACTTGGATGGGGAAAATATCTATATCTATATCCATATCTATATCCATATCTATATCTATATCTGTATCTATATC